GCTTAAATAAGTTTATATTATAGAAACAGAAAAGCAATGAAGCTATTCTATTTTTATTTGAGTTTATTCAGTTTTGTCTCTAGCAACACAAACTGAAATTAAATTGAAGTTCTCATTTACACAACAAGAGCGTCCTTAGTACAATGTTCCTTGGCATACTTTTAAGGACAACTTCTTGAAAGAATACTTTGAAATTAGATGACAAACTTTAAAATAGTAGGAGAATGAATAAAGTACTCAAACAGGTTTTCAGTTAACATGAACTTATAGTATTGATTGTTACTTGAAACAAGGCTGGCATTTTGCTGTGCGAAGTAATGAATGCCCAGCAAAAAAGCCCATCCAAATGCAGGTCCAAGCCAATGTTCAGGTAGCAGGAAGTAAGCTAAAGTAAAATAACAAAATTCCCAAGGTAATTTTGAGCAAAACCAACATTTTTCAGGCTTCAAAGAATTTGATATGAAAGATATAAATAGGAAAAGTTTCTAAATGGGTTTTAAATTAGGAGGACAAAGATTAAATTTGACAAGTAGACAGGCAGTAAGTTTATGCCAAATCATGAAAAATTATTTAAGTCCTGTGAGCTATAAGGTAAGCGATTAAGGCATATTGGGATACTGCAGGGAAGAAAAGTTATGCTTTTTATAACACACACAGCTCATTTCAATATTTAAAAAGTAATCAGTGGGACTCCTGGAAATTGAAACTGTATTAGTGATCTGTTAGTGATGAACAAATCCAAAAATTGCTGATAAATAAGAACTAGGTAGAGCAACTGGCATGGGTCATCTAAACAAAAATCAATTTCTTTACAGTCCATGATTTTCCTCCAGACTATGTTTATGATGAAAGAGTGAGTGTTATCAATATTGCAGTACTTTATGACTATTACAAAAACACTGGATCTTTTGATTACTCAGTGAAGGAAAAATGGATTAAGTTGCAGAACTTTGGAGGACCATTATTTAGGTTAATCCAAACTGAGAAATAGCACCTGGAGTCATATGAAAGTTAAACAAGCTATAAATAGAATCATAGAGGCAAATTTTTGCAACTAAAAGCAAAATAAATCTCATTGGAAGAAGTAGCTTGAAGTACTGCTGAAATGTAAATGACCTATAACAACTTTAGAGGTATCTTCCAACCTAAATAATTATATGATTCTGTGATCAAATGTCAAAGTTGGACCTCCACTGAGCAGGGAATTGGACCTGATTGACATAATGATACTGTGATTTGAACTACCAACATGAGAAAAAGATACAAGCATTAGTATGGATTATTACCTTTTATGGCTTATCTATTATTTAACAAAATACAGCTGTGAAGTGGAAGAACTGAAATATTTTAAAATTCAGGAATATATAGCTAAAACCTGAAAAAATGTGTGGATAAAAAGATCATTCTGTACTTTTAACCCGACGTCACTATCTTCAGCTACAATTCATATCAATCAAGAATGTGACAATGTTTTTGTAATGTATGTGCTTGCCTATCAATCTGACTGAGTTTTGGTTATGTATTGTATCATTGATTTTTACTGCAGCTTATTTCTGAATAAACTAAAACAATATCCTGCTATCCAAAATTTCCATTAAAGTTTTTTAAACTATGCCTGTTGATAATTGCCTATTAGGAATCTTTTGATGAACACAAAAAAAAAAAAAAAAAAAAAAAGTGATCAGTAGGATAAGAAAGCTGTCACTTGCCTATATGGCTGTTGCAAAGAGTTGTTTACTTCTTCAGGTTACTAAAGAGTTACTCTTCATTGTTTTTGTCCAGGACAAAAGCAAATAATTGCTGTAAGTTTTCCTTTCACTGCATCTGCTATCTCATACTTTTCAAAGTGAGTGAAGACTAATAGGAAGTTTTTTCTTCATTGTTGAGAATGATAATAAAGGCAATAAAAGCTAGAAAGTTGTCAAAAAGTTTCCTAGAATTGTTCACACATCTGCATGTTTGATTACACAGGTGTTCTAATTAGTGATGTCAAATGGCTGTGCTTTATCAGAGGTTTGTATGTTTGGATTAAGTAGACTTATGCACCATGCCCACATCTGATTTTATGTAAACTGTTAACTAAATAGAACATTGTTGAAAATAGTGATGACTGTATTGATCTTTTGATTTTTATTTTTTTTTAATTATATGCATTGTCTCAACACAACACTGTATGTGTCAGAATTATTTTGTCAACAGTCAGTAACTGGCAAAAGTCCTGAAGCATGAGCGGCTTCTGTAACCATTTCAAAATTTCTAATTATAATAACACATTCTTTGATCTGTATTTGTGAATATTCCATTTTATGACTTTCCATTTGTTACCCATACTTTCACTAATGTTTCCCTTGTTGGGTGTCATATTGTGAAGTTTTATAAAGAAGGGACTCTAATCTTCTCTGTGAAATAACCATATGATGTTTTCAGTTCCTTCTCAAAAAGTTGTTTTCCATATCTCAAAGTGCACTTACTAACACTTGACCTAGTAGTTAATTTTGCACAACCAAATTGTTTTGCCTTAACGTAATACAATTTGTTTGTTTCTGATTTTGATTTGCAGCAAGTCTTCAACTTCATTACTATTTAAACAACATGTCACATACAGTTGAGAGCTGAAATCTGTTTTTTGTTTTTGTGCACCACCCCCCCCCCAACTTTCTTTTTTTT